ACACGGCTTTAATATGTAGAACAATCCTTGCTATGAATGCATCAAAAGTATTTAAAGTTATGGAATAGGAAAAGAATTAACATGGGTATCTGGTGATGTAATTCGCTGCAATAGAGCAGATATCTCAATCCTGGACATAAACATAATCAATATTTCCAATTCTAATCCTATAGTTAAACCCATCAAGTTACAACACTTTAAAAACCAGTAAACAAATGCTTCATATGGTGATCTGTACTGACTGAAAGGGATTCGATACTTAGGTCTATGCTCATTGGCTTAGCAGGGTGCTGGTGGCGTACACAAACTTACTTAGTTTCCTGAGTTTAAAGAGAAGCACATCTGTCAAGGTTTCCATTCCTGATCACAATCCAAAAAGTTGTGTACAAGTTCAAACTTGTTTCCCATTCTTTGGCCAAACAGGTTATTGACATGTAAGAGCAGGCTCGGGTATGAAGAATGGACAATCTAAAAGGAACCAGAGGGGTTCTGTTCGCAAAGAATTTTACCTTGGTACAATTCAGTATTAGAAAGAAAAGATTTGCCACTTTATTCTTCAAAAAATTCAGCATTCTCTCTATTAACTGACCGGTTTTCCTGTAGGTTACCAACACAATGTGAGACATAGTACATGCAAAACCATCATTTGGTATGATTGTTTTTTTGTTAACTTTACCTGCACATTTTACAATTTTGGAATGGTGTTTTGATGTGTGTCTCTTTTTAAGACCAAGTAGACACTTGGTCATCACAACGCAGGAAATCAGTGAATACAGTATTTTCTCTGGTATATAAAATGTTATTGGTGACAGTTGGTCAGAATTGAGAGCCTTTACTATTTGACTACTGAATGAAGACTTCACCAGCTGTCTAAAAACTCCACTAATTTTAATCATTATATCCAAGAGGTTTGGGTCCTAAATCAAAGAGTTTATCATCAATATTTTATTTAAATTAGCGCCAATCAATTATTGCACTTGGAAAAATACATCTGTTGTTGTAAACCACTCTTTTTTTTGTCGTACTATATATGTAAACTACATTGAAAAAAACTGGAAACAATTGGAGCTCGAAGCAAATAAAAATTTGTCACTATTCAGTTTCCACTATTTCAAATAACAATTTGATATTGGTAGGGACAGAAGTAGAGACTTAAGGCACTCGTTTTTATTGGGTAATTTTTCATCACTGTTGTAGATGAATGACTATTTAAAACAAAACAGCTGCAGAGATGGAACTGATATATGACTGACAAGTATGTTATATTCAGTATTGCATAATTTGCTTGACAAGTCAATAATTACCTGGAATAGACCACATAATTATACGCCGTCAGTTTATATTTTGAAATTTTCTGCTGCTCACTGACATGACTAAGGCACTTGAAGTTCCAACTGTTCCCCAAACTCCATAATCTGAATTGGGAATATTCAATACTAAAATATTGCAGGTTTAATCGATTTTGAGAAATATTTATTTATTTAGTTAAATAAATTTCACAGTAAAGCAGTAAATTATTATGTTTTTGAGTTACTATTCACCAATGCATTTTGTTTGGTCTGTTTGACATGATTGGATTCCAACAGTCAAGGTCAGTTGAATAAGGTATTTTATTTTTAATGTGTTATGCTCTCACTTATACTGCGAATGTCATTTTGAGATTGATACCTACATAAACTGTTACTGGCAGATGAGTGTTATATTGGCCCATGTTTTCGGAGGAGTGTCCATCATCCTTGGATTGCCACTCAACTTGATACCTTGATTTTGAAGTTCTGGTCCTTGTTTACAGATCCCTCTGTGGGCCCATCACTGCTTATCTCTGTAACCTCCTGTGAGATGCCTGAGCTCATACAATTCTTCTTGCTTGCATTTTCCCAATTTTCTTTGCAGTACTGTTGAGGGCCTTGCCTTCAGCTCTCCAAGAATTCGAATTTCTTTGATAAATCTTTCTACCTCTGTTTTCTCCTTTAAGGTGCACCTTAAGGCCTACTGCCCTGTCACCTATCCTGATATTCCATTAAGTGATTCTGTGACGAAATTCAGACACAATACTTTGGAAGTATGGTGTAGTATTGGGAGTGGTCTACAGAGCAATGCACAGTTTAAACAACAATTTGCTTAACTTGTCCTGTACTCCTTTTTCTGTAATAGTTAACCTCTCTGTTTACCTTGTTGATTGCTGCTCTACCATGGTTTTGTAAGTTGAATAACATTCTAGTATCTCTTTCAGTCTTATCCCTCATCTATTGTGATGTCGTTCATATTTTAGAAAAAAACAAAGAATTGTGGATATTGGAGATCTGAAACAAAAACAAATTTCTGGAAGAAGTCAGCAGTTCTGGCATCATTTGTGGGGAGAAAACAAAGTTAGCATTATGAGTACGGTGACTGTTCAACAGAACCAATGAAGTTCTGAGGAAGAGTCACGAGACTCGAAACCTTAACTCTTCAGAGGGTTGATGTGGACTCGATAGGCCGAATGGCCTGTTTCCACACTGTAGTGATTCTAAGATTCTATGATGTCATAAAACCCAGTATTTCATTTAGATATGGTCATAAAAGTCCAAGTTAATGATTGTTCTAAATTGATTATTGTCCTTCATAGAATAGTGCATATGTAACTCTGGCAAAGCAATCGATGTTGTAATTAGCTCCATCAAAAATAATGGGATAAATATCAGTTCATAAACAGGATTAGAGTTATAACAAGCCTGCATTCTTCAGACTCCTCGTCAGTGTCAGAATCAAGTTTTCTGGTTTACTGAAATCTTCATGAAGGCACAGCCTCAGAGTGAAGAGATGACCCTTTAGAACTGAGATGAGGAGGAATCTGAAAATCACCAAATGACTCAAGTTTTGATGTTGGTTCGACACAATGCTTATTTCCGCGATTTAAGCATTTCAGAGGCTAAAATCTCGACTTCACCAAATGACTCAACTTTTGATGCTGGTTGGAAAAAAATGCTTATTTCAGCGAGTTAAGCTCTACAGTAGACCAAAATCTGAACTTCACAAATGACTCAAGTTTTGATGTTGGTTTGATTAACTTGCTTATTTCAGTGAGATAAGCACTTCAGAAATAAAAAATCTCAACTTCAGCAAAGGACCTAACTTTCGATGTTGTTTTCACTAACGTGCTTATTTCAGTGAGATAAGCATATCAGAAGACTAAAATCTCACCTTCACCAGATTAGCTAACTTTTGATGTTGTTTAAATTAAAATGCTTATTTCAGCGAGTTAAGCACTTTCGTTAACCTATGGAACTAATTGCCGCAGAGGGCTGTGGAGGCCAAGTCATTGACTGCATTAAGTCAGAGATAGATAACTCCTTGACTGGTAAGTGGATCAAGAGTTATGGGGAGAAGGTGAGACAATGGTGTTGAGAAACATATCAACTATGATTGAATGGAGCAGACTCAATAGGCCAAATGTCCTCATTCTGCTCCTAGGTCTTATGGTCTTATGGTCATGGGTCAGAGTTAGATCTGGAATGGAGAAACCAGAGACAACCAGGAAAAAAACTTATTCAAATGTCAAATAAATTAAGTAGAAATTACAATAGAATTGTTGAGGAATAGCTAGCATAAAATGAAAATTCAAATAGTAACTTCCATCACAAGTGGAGAATTCTAGTTTCTGTGAGAAAAGAGGAATTAATGAATTAAACAAAAATTAAGCAAAAAGAAAAGATGCCCTCTTACCCACTGTACATACAGAGTTGAAACAGAGCAAGAGTTAATTTCCAAAATGTTGAATTGTATAAAAACTTTATGAACTTGGGCAGCACATTGTTGAACATAAGACTAAGCATCAACAGTTTTCATTTCTAAAATAACAAAGACGTTTCGAAAGGGAACATGAGCTGGGACTAATAATTTAAATTGGGTTTGTGATAATTCATTGAATTGTGAAGATTTTGACACAAGGCCAATAGGAAATGGATGCATTTTAATTTATGAGTATAATTATGCTGCTCTTTTAAACAATTTTCATTAACATCTGTGAAACAAGTAAAGAAAATTTACTGCAGGAGTTCTCAATATTTTTTCATTAATTACTGGACTTCTCACTGTATAATTAAGCCATGCAGGTGAAGCAAGTTGCAAAGTCTAATCCAAGTTAACTTGTCCCAAACAAAGTTTTTGGTTTAGAGATAGTTTTTGGATGATCCCTCCTTGGATCTTCGAGCTGATGAATTAGGCAGGATTCCTTCTCTCAATCATAGTTTAATAACCATGATTAGAAAATTTCAGTGTTTGAATTTGGGCAAAGGTGAAGTTTGGATTTGCTTTCTACAGTCAAGTAGCCTGTGTGTCTCAGAGTTTCAAGATATTGTCTTGAAGTGCCTCGGTGTGCAACATACAGTGTGAAGAAAGGTTGAATTCTATTGCACTTACTGTAACATTCCATCTGAAATGTTATGCCGCTGGCTGCATGCTTGATATGGAATGTACTCTATACATATCAAGAGTATTGCAATTGTGTAGATGCAATTGAATTGGAACAAACTGTATGTCAAAAAGTTGAATATTATTGCATTTTCTAACGTACCTTTATACATTCTATGAATAAAGCATTTTCAAGAAAGAATCTCAAGGATGAAATACTGAAAAATGTGCAAGGCCTTTTGTAGCTATACTGATAACATGAGCTGGCTTCTTCATAGGTAGAGGAAAGAAAATGGTAAACTGTTTACTTAAAATTAATTTCATTTTGACCAAATATATTTATTGTTTGTGTTCTTGACTTGTGAGAAACAGATCTGTGCTTGTTGTAGGGAGTGACATGTTAGGAGATAATAAGTTCCAATTTCAGCAGCTGTGCAATAGAAACATTTCCAGACCATCTGTCGCATATTAGGGTTTTATATTTCATTTCATACTGTAATGTTTTTGTTCTGCATAACATGTTGCTTTTAATGGAAATTTACTGCTGTCTGGTAATAGAGTAATTGAAATTGATGATCAAAATTGTTCTTGTTCAATATATGTATCAGGTTGCAGGATCTGGAAGAGCTGGGGGAGCTTTCCGCTCACTGGGACACTCTGCGACAAAATGTAACCATCCATTACCAGCACATGATTAGCAGCTACAAAGAAATGCTTACGGAACTCAATAAATTCTCAGGTATAAAGCACCAGAGCGAGGAATGAGTGAAGAGGTTAATTTGTCTGGCTGTTCAATTCCAGTAAGATAAATTCAGAATTTACTGCTTCTTTGTCACATTTATGGAGCAAGGGGAATGGCAATATTCACCTACAAAGATAATCGTGACTGCAACATTTCTTAATTATTCACCTGAGATCTAAAGAAGGCTGAAGACTTTAGAAGAGTGCTGAAGATTAAACTTCATTTTAATGTTGTACTTTGTTGAATCCTTGTTGGTTGTTTTGGACACGCATTCCCATAAAATTTGTTCTACAGAAGGTATCCTTCCTCTCCTCAAAATCACCAATTTAAGGGGAGCAATTGCTCTTCCAACTTGAGCATGCATTTACACACTGCTCAGAATTCTAGTCAAATTGTTAATGTTGGTTTTCAATATACTTAGATATTTTAGCCTTGTAAGTTTGAAAAAAAATTCTTCAGATTTGCACTTTCATTACTGGTTTTAAGATATATCTATCATGAAGGAATCATAAGGACAAAAGTCCCTTCAAACCAAAGTGCTTTCTCTGATAAAGCACTATCAATCTACCTTCACAAACGATTGTTTTGTGTCCCTTCACCTTTATCTTGTCCGAATTTTTGACTGTGCTGCCATTTCCCAGATCTATGCCTGTTTCTCCCATAACATCCTGTTTAATTTCCTTTAGTCAAATCCATACCCCTTCTATAGTACTAAAAAGGATCTAATAGAAGTCACAAATAATGTATCACTGACCATAATGCATTGTCCCATGTTGGTCTACACTACCCTGGAACCTTATTTTAAACACTACCCTGGAACCTTATTTGTTCAGGTTGGTGTGCCACCTTTGCTTGGTTCTCTTCTTGCTCATTCGAGCATGGCCAGAGCATCTCTAAAATATAGCTTTCACAGTCACAGATGCAATTGTTTTAACTTCTATAAATTAACTTGCTGTTTTGTGTATTAAACATACTTAGGCTGCTTTAAATTTTGCCCACTATTTATTTTTGTAATTATTTTGTCTATAGATGAGAATTAGCAATTTGATGAATATTTTAGACTTTGCCATGATGAAAGTATAATTTCAGTGATTGTGAATCAAATCCAGTTCAGTACAGAAGTATCTCTGCATATGATCCTAACTGATGAGTTCTTCACTGAGACAAGGCCAGAGGATAAAGTCAATTTGAGTGTGGAGTGTCTGACAGCATGTTTATTTGCTATCCCAGAGGACTAGATTTCATTTTTTTAAACTAAGAACTCCCTCCCGTTTTTTTTTGACCTGACTGATCCTTTTTCTAAAATTTGTGAACTAATTTCTTATTTATCATTTGCATTGTCTTCGTGTTCTGAGAGCATATAAATCTTTCTTGATGAATTTTATCTTAGATATTTTGTATTCTTGGTGGTTTACTTTTAGTGTATTATTTCTTCAGTGTATATATTTTCCAACAGATTGGTTTACCTAACATGATAAAGATTTAAAATGTTTTATTACAAGCATTGATGTATTTGACAATAGGACATTTGAAACACTGAATTCTACAGGCAGGTAAATTAGAATTCACGAAATATTATGACCGAAAGCTAAGAACATTTTTAATTCTTCATGGATAACGTAGACCCTCTAAGTTAAGTTGTTTATTCCAATATACTGGCATTTATTAGATTATCCATCAAATGCCCAAAGTTATCACCATCAAAAGCTTGTTAAGATTCCTGATGTAGTTTGTCAATGTAATATTACAATATACAATGTTGCTACAATGTAGGGAGCGCTGAGTCTTGTTAGATCTTTTCAAGATTAGAGCAGAATGTGGGGGCTTGAAGCACACGAGTGCATTTGTTGCCCCGGTTTATTCTGTTTATTCTGTTCTCCAATTAAATGTTTTCACTGGCAGAGTTTTGACCATTGTATGACATTTCATGAACACTGCTGGCTAATAGGCTGGCATTATTTATACCCTGACATTACTTTTTTAAAGATATGGTTGTGTTATAAAATAGTCAGTTAGAACTACAATATTGAAAGTAAACACAAAAAATGATCAAAGTTGTAAATTTCATTTTTCTTGTGGTCACATATTTCTTTACCTCAGTCTTACAGGTACTAATCATCCTGCTCATCTAATAGTTTGTGCCTATACCTTCCTACTATGTTGGTTAGTCTTCATATTTTCTTCAATTTCGTCAGTAGAGACTTGTTCACCCAGTCCCTGACCAGCCTGAAATATACTTCAGATAAATGGGTAGGAATAGTTGCAGTCACCTTGCTCATTACGGTTCCTTTCTGTTGAATGTTTAACGCAATTAAACAAGAGATTGTGGGAAAAGGCAGAAAGCCAGAAAATACTAATCATGAATGGAAAAACATGCACACTGCTTGTTGTCACTCTTGGGCAGTGGAATCTGCTCAGTACTGATTATCTATGGTGTTAGAGAACCCCTTCATCTTGAAGCAGCTGTTTAATATCAACGTAGACCAGGCTATCTGTTAAATGTTATACACCTCAGCTGGCTGACAAAATCACAAAGTGTATGTTTAATTTGCAGGGTCATCATTTAAACCGAGCTGCAGCAGAGGAGAGAAGAAGCTTGAATTTATTCCAGTTAATCTGCATTTACAAAGAATGCATGTTCAGTGTAGTTCTTCCAAAACTGGTAAGGCTTTTGTTAAATTTTATAATTTTTCTGATTTGTATAATGTCTATGTTTTTATTTATCTCAAAGCTCACCAGTTTGTTCAATGGTATTGCAGTCATTAATTTTATATTTCTACATACCATGTCAGCCTCCATTACTTTTACAAGTGTTCCTGGGTGAGATAAGAAAAATTCCTTTTAACTTACCTCTGAGTCCTTTTAGCGTGATATTTAAGAATCCAACATTCTAATCATTGGCAATTTGTAGGAAGCGTATAGTTTTGGAGCATCAAGTCCATATGAATATAAGAAATCATATGTCTTGGGGGTCGGTGGGTGGGGAAACAAAGGCATCTTTAGAGATCAAGTTTTTTTTGTCCTGGATCAATCTGTTACAATTGGGCTTCCCTAATGTCTCAGTTGCTAAGTGCTCCAAATGATGCTGAGCTATGTCATCCAAGAAGAATCCAGATTCTATGGTCAGTGCTGGATTAGTTTTCTATGTTTTGTACGTTTGAATGAATTTTTGGAGCACTGGGTTGGAGAGAGGCATAAAACAAACATTGCAGATTACTCAGTCCTTTTGATACTTCTGAGAGTCCTAGTGGAAAATGAGGATGTGAATGCCAGGTGAAGACAGGATCAACCTCAACTGCCCCAACCCAAGAAGACAAGGTGCTGTACAATCATCACTTTGTACGACAAGGACATACACTTAGAGATGCTGCTGCTATTGAATTGTAGTTCAGAGTTAGTCACTACCTTCAGAGGGGAAAGGAGAACATTCAGTAAATATAAACATGTTGAAGTGAGTTTTGTGTTGATATAGCTTCGTATATTCATATGCATATGTGATTTGTCTAAGGAATGGAATGCTTTTCATTATTCCTTGCATATTGCAACTGCTGAATGCCATATTTCCATTGCTTCTCAAAATTTATTTAGAAGCATGTGTAGATTAATGGTAATACAATATCAATAAGGAACCTTAGCATTTTGGTCATCTATGTTTTCTCTTCTTTGAGTCCAATGTTTCAAATAATGGATTAACAAACAGTACTGAAATGTGAAAGGACAAGAGTATTGCTGATGAACACGAGTAACAATTTGTACTTGCACCGTTAATTTGAAAAGTACATATTTTATTACAGATCAGACCAAGGTCTGGAATTTTATTCCCACTCGGGGGTGAGCATACTGAAGGGGAGGTACAAAATTTCCCATCACTGACCAGTATAGCAGTTTTCCAGCATCAAACCTTGCTCCTAGAGATGGGATTTGGATGGCAGAACCACTCACCAACACGTAGAAAGTAATGAAATATGGCTCTTTAAAGACCTATAGAGACATGTTATCGGAAGCTGGCTAGAGTTTTCCAGTCAGCCTTCCAACCCCCTGAGGATTAAGCCAACTACCTGGAGGTAGCCTGGTAGCAGACTAGGAAGCCAGCACTCAGTGAGTGCTTTAAGCCACCTGTGTGTCTTCGACTGCATCCACAGGACACCCTAATGCAATAGCACCCCATTTGAAGCTCACTCTCTTCTCTCTCTCTCACTCTTTCTCCCTCTCACTCTCTCTCACTCTCTCTCTCACTCTCTTTTTCTCTCTCTCACCTAAAAACCTGCTGCTTTTCTAATAGCGTTTGCCCTGCCTTGTGGCCACTAATTGGCCTATCCAGGGAAGATCACAGCTGGATGATAGATTCCCATGCCTTGCAGGCTTCTGGCCCCATTTTAACGTGAAATCAACACTGACCTGTGTGACATCTTCAGCTGAGCCTGATACATGGTGTCTCTGACATTCCTGATGGAAGAGCACAGCCCTTATCTCCTCCAATGCATCCATCAGCACCTCCAGGTCCCTTTCGGCAAACTGGGGTGCCGTTTTGCCTCTATCAGCCTCATTACATGGGCATCCTTGAACACCTGCATTGTGAATGTTTGCTCCTGGCTTGCAATCTTTGAACTGGTGCGCAGCTGGCTGATTGCTGGAAGGTTCCATTCCTGGCACCACTGAGCATTTCAGCCACTGCTCAGCGTAAAATTGTATGAGAGCACCACCAAAGATACATGTTGCACACTTAAGAGGTGAGCATCATAAAACTGCATGAGAGCTCACAGAGAGAAACCTTCCTTGCAACTCCCTGAATTCGACACAGAGCCAAAATTTGGCAAAATTCAACTCTATATCTTTATTACAACTTAATTCCAATTTCTACAGAGTGTTCTAAAAATAAGCTGTAGAAGTTGCAAATTCTAATTTTGAGAGCAAGAATATTTTGATTTCTGTGTCAGTTGGATCACGGCAATTTTGTACGACTTCAAGCAAACTGATCATTTAAGAAATTTGCCTTCACTCTACCTTAACTGTTCAACCTATTGGCTGAGTTTTTAATGTCTAGTTTTGTGGCTCTTTTGTTAAATGGATATATTTGTGCTGAACGTGACAAGATGTAATGGCCTTCTATTTGTTTACCATTTGTTGAAGATTTTGAGGAAAAGTTAGATTTGTTGTAAAACAGCTCAATAGCTAAATCTGATGGGAAATCGGCTAGATATCATTTGTGTCAAGTTTCGTGGACGCCAGGCCGAGCAACCTTTCTCTCGTGATTGTCCCAGTCTCACCTCATTAACTAAGTATCATGCCTGTATGGCACCTCACTTGTCTGATAACAACCTGACTCTTCATTGACTGTACGTAGTCACAATTGCCACCGCTGGGACATCCTGCGATTCCAGGCCTCCTCGTCATATTTAAAAGGCCATAATGCACCCTGTCGAGCATTGGCAGTTTGAAGTTGCCCTACACGATTTGTGATATTTGCCCTAGACATGGTAGATTTGGGGAAAGCAGCATCCTACCTTCTGTACTGTAAGTGAATCAGATATGTGCCACGATGATATGTTGAGACGATTTCATGTCAGATGCCAATGTTGGTTGAGTGAAGCCGCTGCACATAGAGCGTGCCCTGAGATGTTGCTGGTGGTTGTACAAGATGGCAATCATAAAATTCCTAGAATGCAGATGGAGGCCATTCGGTCCATCAAGTCTGCACGGATCCTTTCTCACTGCCTCAGAAAGGCAGCCAACATCATCAAAGACCCCTGCTACCCCAGTTATAATCTCTTCCAATCTCTTCTGTCATGCAGAAAATACAAAAGCTTAATCATTAATCAACAAGTTCAAGAATAGTTTCTTCCCTGCTGTTGTTAGACTTCTGAATGGACTGAATTTGAAATCAAATTTCAAATTGCCTGTACAGCACACAAAACAAAGCTTTTCACTGTACCTAGGTACATGTGACAAAACTCAAACCAAAAATCAATCAAATCCAAAGAACATCCCACCCTAAGCAGCAAGTTGGAGTTGCTAGTAACTGCTCTGACTTTGTCGGTAATTCTTGGCATCTACTTTGTATCCGGTGATGGGAGAATGGGAAGCTGCGTTTAAGTGAGACCAGATTATGTGGTAATGAGGGTGCTAATGAGTGATACTCCTTACAGTTAGGCCTTTCATGACCCACTGGTGAAAATCTTGTCTGGCAATCCAACACTTGGTTAGAAAATAAGATTTTTTGATCTTGATGGCAGGAAGGCCCTTGCTGGAAATGGACATCTCACCCGAGTTTCCCAAATTTCTTGCTTTGGTGCATGACATTGGGGAAGATTGTGCCCTACATCTTTTTTAAATAGATGACCTCACATCACTCTTTAATGCTATTCATCACAAGAGGAATTCCTAGAAATCAACATTGAATTTTGCCTTTCATGAGATGTGGCAAAGCAATCTTGGTGTTTTCCTAAAGGACCGGAGTATAAACTAGTGTACAAGATTAACCTTGATATGTGGTGAGTTTTTGTCCACACCAATGCTCTGACACCAACTGATGAGATTCAAAGCAGTCAAGAAGGTAAATGTGTAATAGCTTCTAAAAAAAACTTCACAATTTCTTTTAGTTATCTCCTTATTATACATACACACTACTTTTTAAAGTTTAGTATATGTCCAAAGTGTCACGGACGTGTGGTGCAAAGTGTAGTATACTTCTCAGGTTGGAATTGATAGCAAATATCTGGTCAATGAACCATGCTGATTTTCTCAAACATACAAAAACCACAAATAGTCAGGAATCAACAATCCATGAAAAATCATCTAACCGAATAACTGTAAAACAAAAAGGCAACCAATCTATCACAAGATAAGCAAAATACTTAAAACTTATTTTAGAAGTTGCTTTAATAGCCTAAGGTATTTGACTGACTGCACATTCTCTGATTAATACTTAACTTGCTCATATAAATCATTCATAATTTCAAAGTTCTTAAAACAATTACAAAGTTATCCACAAACAAGCCTTTTGTGTACTAGAGCTCCCTCTATCTGGCACATGGATTTTGACATCTTTTCTAATTTTGCAACCAAGAATCCTCCCTGCCAATATGTTTTAGACTACCAGTATGCATAAATGCTTTGTGCTTTGACATAAGACTGGACTTTTCTGTACTTATTTCCTGCCACAATGTTTTCATTCTCAATCACTCCTCAGACTCTTGGCCTGTATCTGTGTGTGTGTGTCTGTGTCTGTGTGTGTGCAATTTATTGAAAATGTTACATCTGTGTGTGCTTCGAATCCAAATTCCCACATCAACATTTGCAGTAAGACTCTATGTAAACTTGCCACACTGTAATTAGCACTTGCCAGGGCCTCAGCTTCACAGTTGTAAACAGGAAAATCTCTTATCTCCCATCAGTTAATGTTCTCTGTTTCTCAAGTTCATCTAAGCTCTTGTATTTAATTATATGTGATATAAATGTTTTTGATCAATAAGGGGAAAATGTATAAACTGGGGACTTTTCCAAATATGCAAAGAAACAGGAGTAAGACTCTCAAACCCACTCCTGAGATGCGATTGAGAATGTTAATGTTACAGTGGGGAAAGAATTGGAAGTAACCTCCAACTGGAAACTCAATACATCTGATCTTTACAATGACAGTCTCTGTTTCTGTATCACCTTTAA